CCCCAGCGCTGGAGTTTCCCTCCTGCCGCCCGGCCCTCATCCTCGCGGGACAAACGACAAAACTCAACTGGGTTTTGGGTTTAGGGTTTAGGGTTTAGGGTTTAGGGTTTAGGGCTTAGGGATTGGGGTTTAGGGTTTACGGTTTGGGGTTTAGGGCTTAGGGTTTGGGGATTAGGGATTACTCCTTTTCTATTCACCCAACCTCTGCATTCTAATAAAAGTTGAGTTCAGTTGTTTACTTATTAAATCCAGTACACCAGCTAATCTATGGGAGATAAGGTAAAGAAATATGGAACGGAAAGATAGTGAAGAATATGAACTACGACCAACCATTGATGAACAACTCCCTGAATTATAAGAGGATGAACCACCAGCCTATGAGATGAAAGGTAAATGATAAGATTTCATGTTACAAAAGTTCAGATTATAAAAATATGAGCCATGCGAATCAGGAACGTGACTTGTCTTTCTATAATATAATTCTATCACCTATCTACAACTACCTGTTAATGAGGAACGGCGAACGAGTGAGCCACAAGACCCTGAGCTCAAAGAGGACCGCTGTTGGTGATGGAATATTAGGGTTTAGGGTTCAGGGTTTAGGGTTTGGGGTTTAGGGCTTGGGGATTAGGGTTTAGGGTTTAGTGTTTAGGGGCCTTGAGGGTTTAGGGTATTCGTTTTTGGGTTTTGGGGGTTTCGGTTGATTTTCGTAGTTCAGGGCTTGGAGGTTGAGAGCGTTTCCCGGAGAGCCGCAACACTACATTTTGTCTAATACGGGGGCCTTAATCATTACCTACACTATTTTGCGGGCTCCTTATCAGAATTCTAGCATAGTATCCCCCAAAACCCTTTTCTAATTGTTAAGGCTCCTACATTACCTAAACCTTAAACCCTTCTTGGCACCATCGCTTCTCCGGTTGAGGGCTCTGAAACCGCACGCTTCGAACTACTTCGCCTCGAGCCCGGTACCTGAACAACTTATTCCCCACTAATGTAGGAACTTGACCAAGAGACCCCGGGCCTTTATTAGGGTTCTTTATATGAATCCGTGGGGGCTAGGGCTTCTTAATCAGGTTCCTACATTAAAGCCTCAAGCCTTCAAGCAGCTTCAAACCCGAAAAGTCCCAAATCCTAACTACCAAAATAGCATCGGAGTATCACCATCCTGATGGTCTGAAGATAGAGTTTTTAACGAAGCCGTGCTACCGGACGCAAGCGGCAACGACTAGGATCCAAGTCGGCGCGTCTGTGGCAGTGTCCGCACCGGTTCGGACGACGCCCCGGCTGGAGTTGGGGTCCTTCTACGGGTTAGGGCCGTTTAGGGTGTAAGGTTATGGGGTGCTCGAGATATGCCTTGGGCCGTTCATGGGCGTTTCAGAGGTGTTTGTGTTTTGGTTGAGGGTTTAGGGTTTAGGATTTAGGTCTTCAGGGTTTAGGATTCAGTGTTTAGGGTGTTGGGTACAGGGGTCCGAGTACTTCTTTCAGAGCACTGTTCCGGGATATCTGCGGTTATCTTCGATGGCAAAAGCATGCAAGACTCTGAGACTCAGCTGGGTAGGAGTAATTTAGGGGCCTTAATAATTAGAATAGGGTTTGGGTGGACTATACCATCATGAAAATAAGGAGCCCCCCAAACCTTATTCTAATTGTTCAGGCCCCTACATTAATACCAATTCTGGAGGCGCTGATTTGAGTCGAGAGCTGAAAGATTGAAAACTCGGGGTTAGGCTAAGGGTCGGAGCATCTAAGGTCTCAGAGAGTGCAAGAAGTTAGGGCACTGCTTCGTTCAGGGCTTGGGCTTAATGTAACTAGGGGTCTTAATAATTACCTATACCGTTTTGGGGGTTTCTAATTCTAATTAGAGTATAATACACCCCAAAACCCTATTCTAATTTTTAAGGCCAGGCCCCTATATTAGCAGTTTGGATCCAGATGTGTGTCTAAGCTGGGAGTTGAAGGCTCACTAAGGCCCTAAACCCTAAACCCCTAAGCGCTAAACTCTACAGGGTTTAGGGTCTAGGCCCCATTCAACGTGATGAAGAAACTTGAAAGTGGTTTTAGGGTTGCAGGTTCAAGGGGTTAGGGATTGCGAGTGGTTACGGTCCTTATAACCCTGGACTTTTTGGAGCTTTAACCGATACCCCCCCAAACCCAAACCCAGATCCCTAAACCCTACACAGTTCTAGGCATGAGGGTTGAGGTTCAAAACTTAAAGTTGGCAGGGTCGGTTCAGGACCACATACACAACTCGAGGAGCAGCGATTGGCCCTGGCCCTGCGACAAAAAGACGCACGTTGTTTCAAGCATGCTTCTGTGCAGCGCTGTTGGCGCGCAGCGTTCGGGGACAGATCACTTGTTGCTGTCATTGCCCTATGACTTTGCCGGGGCTCAAGATCGCCCTTACTTGTATGTGCGCCTACGGAGGTTCGTCGGACAGTCTTGAGCATGTGGAAAGAGAAAGGCTGGGCCCCTGAGTGGGCTTTGATGACATGATGGATGTTCTGTGCCGGAGGACCAGCATCTCGATGGCGACAGCGAGATGCTTACCGGATGTGTTGACTTGAAGTTTCCAGGTGGAACACTTTGTGGTGTAAAGGCAAATGGAGACAACAGAGCTCTCGGTGCATGCACATGCTCCTGCCTCAGCTTCCCGGCTGAGTCCATGCCACCCAACCTCAAACCCTAAAGCCTAAACCCGAACCCCCTAAACCCTAAACCCCTAAACCCTGAACCCTCCTAAGGTCCTAAGGCCTAAACCCAGCAGCATTAAATATCCGAGACACTCAAGGCCACAAGCCCCTTCTGAGCTGCAAATCCTGCTTGCAGTCCTAGAACCTTAGGCCCTGCCGCTACCGAAGGAGCCTTGAGAGGGTTTTGTAAGAGATCTTGAAGAGGGTTTAGGGTTTAGGGGGTTTAGGAGAGCCTTAAGAGGGTATCAGGGTTTAGGAGAGCCTTAAGAGGGTTTGGTTTGGGAGAGCCTTAAGAGGTTTAGGAGAGCGTTAAGAGGGTTTAGGGGTTTAGGAGAGCCTTACTTAAGAGGGTTTAGGGGTTTAGGAGAGCCTCAAGAGGGTTTAGGGGTTTAGGTAGGAGAGCCTTAAGAGGGTTTAGGGGTTAGGTGGCCAGGGTCTATGTAGGCGATTGAGACAATTTTGGAATTCCCCTTTTAGGGCTTAGGAGGACGTTACGTATGAATGGTTGTCAACGGGTTTCAAGGCCTACACTCTAACCCCTAGCCCTAACCCAAATTAAACCCCACAAAGTAACCTAAACCCTGAGCCTCCTAAACCCTAAACCCTAAACAAACTACCCTACACCCTGAGCCCCACTAAGCCCCAAGTGCGTGCCAGGACCTCGCAGACCGTGGTGTCGCCCGTACCGTGCTGCTTCCGCGCTTTTTGTGCCTCTGTGGGGCGCGGGGTGTTTGGGTTTACGGTTTGGCGGGGGATATTTCTTGGGGTGATTTTTTGAGACCTCGGTGCGAGGTCTACGGTTCAGCGTGTTTCATGTTTTTGGGGTCTGGGTGTAGGGTTTGCCCTTTGGTACTTCGGGGATCTGGGCGTGTGGTTTCGGGGTTTCGGGTTTTGGAATGGGGGTTGAAAGGCAGATGAGGACGTGCGAGTGCAAGAATGTCGTCTGTATCTGTATGTGCGTGTGTATGTCTGCGTGTGTGCGTGCGTGTGTGTCTCTGTCTGTTTGTCTGTCTGTTTGTCTGTCTGTCCGTCCGTCCGTCCGTCTGTCTGTGTCTGTGGGTCTGTCTGGATGGATGGCTGGCAGAATGATTGGGCGGGTGGGTGGGTGCGTGCGTGAGTGCGTCCGTGTGCGCGTGGCTGGCTGGCTGGCTGGCTGGCTGGCTGGCTGCCGCTGGCTGCTTGGGGCGGGTTGGATGGGTGGATGGGTGCATGGATGTTGTTTGTTCGTTTATTTGTTTGTTTGTTTGGTTGTCTGTTTTTGTACGTACCTGTATGTATGTATGTACGTATGTATGTATGTATGTATGTATGTATGTATGGATGCACGTATGACTGCGTACGCACATGTATTCATGTATGTAAACATGTGTGCATCTAGTATGTGTGGCTTTCTGCCGGCCTGCCTGCCTGCCTGGCTGTCTGTCTGTATGTTTGTTTGTATGTATGCATGTATGTATGCATGTATGTATGTCTGCTGTTTAGTTATGTATGTATATAAGTATGTATGTATGTATGTGGCTAAGTAGGAAGTAAGTAGGTAGGTAGGAAGGTAGGTAGGTAGGTAGGTAGGTAGGTAGGGAGGTGGGTGGGTAGGTCGGTCGGTCGGTCGGTCGGTCGGTCGGTAGGTAGGTAGGTAGGTAGGTAGGTAGGTAGGTAGGTAGGCAGGTAGGCAATTCTGTAATTAAGGATGCGGTGCAGTGTAATGCAACAGAATGTATGTATGTATGTATGTATGTATGTATGTATGTATGTATGTATGTACGTATGTGTGTGTGTGCGCGTGTATGCGCGTATGTGTATGTATGTATGTATGCATTCATGCATGCATGCATGAATGTATGTAGGTATGTATGTATGTATGTATGTATGTATGTATGTATGTATGTCCGTACGTATGTATGTATGTACGCACGCACCCACGTAGGTATGTATGTATGTATGTATGTATGTATGTATGTATGTATGTATGTATGTATGTCTGCATGTGTTTGTATGTATGTACGTATGCAGCTAAGCAGGTAGGCAGGTCGGTAGCTAGGAAGGAAGGCTGGTATAT